AATTGAATACGTTACAATCGAAGTCTTACCTTTTAAGAGATTATTGACCAAGAATGTGACGTGGCATGAAAGTTAAGGTTGGAATCTAAGATTTTTCAATAATGTGAACGGGTGAACTTTCAGTTTATTAAAACTTTAATAAAACTTTTCCACACAGAACAACTTAAGTAGCGAATTGCCATTTTTATGAAAACATTTCAAGATAGTATTAATTAACTGCTGCCTTCAAAGTTTCTGTACTAATAAAGTTTCTAAAACCTTTTTTTAATATTGTCTTGCAATTTTTTAATTTTTATTATGCTAAAAAAGAATTCATAAACTGTCACACATAATTTCGACTTGGAGTTAAATGACTTACATGATGAGTAAGGTTTTAGATTTCCCGATCTGCTCGAGCAAATGGTTGCCGCTTTTTCAAGTGGAATTTGTGGGTTTCAGGAATCATCTTCAAGGTAATTATCTGCTTATCAAGAAGGTTGATTACTTTTGAATACAGTGATAAAGGCACTAAGTAATAAGTCAGTTACATAGTAATGACTTGCTGCGCGAATTAAACTAATTTAAACTAATGGAATGTTTTTATTTCACTACTGAAGTAAGTGAATGACTTACGCATTTTATTTCAGGTCATACCTTGTATTTTGTTATTTCATTTTTCAACAGTTATAGTGATAAAACTGCATCGAGCATCAAGAAAACACAAAACTTTGTTAAGAAGGAGCGTCATCGTGAAAGCACGGTTAGTACTGCTACCTTCTTGAGTATAGTTATTATGACTCACTCGAAGGATGTCAATTTTCATGAATTTTTGTCCTGCAAATAATTGGATAGTAAAGCGAAAACTTTATGTTATTGCTCCAAATTTACTCTAAAATAAGCTCTCACGATGAATAAGCTGTGAGTAAACTAATAAATTTAGACTGACAAAATTGAATCGTTGAAAGTAATTTCAGCGATTGCAAGAAATCAGATCGCACCTCAAATCTATTACTAGCTATTGTTTTGGTGTTTCTAATCACCGAATTGCCGCAAGGGATAATAGCAATCATGAATGCCATCTACACGACTCATGTGCACATTTACATATACTATAATCTTGGCGATATTTTAGATCTCCTTTCTTTGCTTAACTCATCTATTACCTTCGTCCTATACTGTATTATGTCATCTAGGTTAGAATTAATAATCTTATTTACTGTTTTATTTAATTACGATAAATTGAAATTGAATCTTGGAATTGGTAATTGTGTGATCTTAGTCTTAGTCTTCAAAGAGACAAAAAGGTGATTATATTATATACTTCAGATTTTTCAGGTACAGAGACACATTTTGGACCGTCGTATTACCGAAGCACCTTTCCAGGTACATGCACTCGGAATTACGATAATAATAGCCTTCCTTCAGAATTATAGTATTTTCAGAGCAAACAAAAACTCAAAGTATTGTGCGCTAGCAGTTAAATAGCAAATACGTTTAAATATGTAACATCACTAAGAATAAATTGTGTGCAACTATGACGGCTTTTTCTCTGCTTTTTAACGTAATGTTTATCTTTTTTGTAGAAGTAGAAGGTTTTTTGTTAGAAACTGAAGGATTTTTGAGAAATATTCTCGACGTGTGCAAATAGTTTTTGTTAGTGCTTAAATTAACAGCAAGTGATGCGGTTATATTGACATTTCGAGCAATTTGCATGCAAAATATTCAGCAAAATGTATAATATCGAGCAGAGTGCTTGTAAGGTTAATTTATGCTAGCTAATGAAAATTAGTACTATTACTGAAATTGCAGGCAGTTTTTTGTAAAAGATTCAGCAAAAATGATAGCAGCAGAATTGAATTCCGAGCAGATTTTAGTAAAGTGGAATCATGGAAGGCACATCAATCGTAGCAACAACGGTTGCTCAAATTATCAGTTCTGTTAGTAAGTAAGAATGCAATGAAATAAAAAGTGATAATGAGATATCCTTCCTTTTCTTAAATATGACAATCAGAAAAGTTATATTCTAAGTGGTGTGAAGATTCTCTTTCTGAACGATGAATTGTGCTCCGAATCGCACTGATTACACTTTGCTACTTTAGAATAGAAAATGATAAAAAGCAGTTATGACCGGTAACGTCTTGATATCAGCTCTAGATTCATATTATCACTTGAAAGTAATAACTTCTGCCAAAAAGTTTGGATGCGAAGTTGATGATAAAATAGCAGACTCATCTTCCTTTATTTTGCTTAATATCATTACGGTGTCATAATCTGTATTATAATTTGTTATTAGTT